TGGTAAAGACTTCACGCAAATGGTGGAGATGCTCGTCAAAAGAATCACTATAGATCACCAAGTCATCCAAATAATGGAAGACATATTTAAATTTGATGTCAGAGAACACTTGATCCAACAAGCGCGTAAGAACTTGAGCGCCTGTTGCTATGCCAAAAGGAACCCTAGCATACTCATACAAGTTCCAGTCCGTTGCGAACGCCGTGAGAGGATTCGATCGCTCGGTCAATGCAATTTGATGGTAAGCAGAGTTAAGATCAAGTGAAGTAAACACTTTAGCTGACTTAAACCAATGGAAGCAGGAATGAACATCTGGCAAGGGAACTGAGTCAATCTTAATCTTCTTGTTGAGTGCGCGGTAATCAACCACAGGACAAAATTCGCCCTCGCCTTTAGGTACTAGAAATATAGGGCTAGAATATGCAGATGTGGAGGGATGGATAATGCCTTGTTCCAACATGCGCTGAATATGCTGGCGCAGCACTTTCATCTTAGGAGGCATAAGCCTATAAGGGGCGAGCTTGACCGGAGATTGGTCAAGCAACTCGATGTCATATTCCAAGAGAGTGGTAAGACCTAGTTTAGGAGTTAACACATCAGTAAATTGATTAATCAGCTGTGAAAGCGAGTCCGACAATGGGGGAGCGAGATGGGACAAATCTGGACCAGTTTCCACAGATGTACAAATTCTGGGCACATGCGTTTCAACATGACGCCGAATCAACGGCAACTTATTAGCCGGGTCAAATTTAAAGTAAGCAAAACCTTCACAAATGTCCATTAGTAAACCAGTCTTACCCAAGAAATCGGATCCCAAAATAACTGGGTAAGCTAAATTCTCCACTACGTAGAACATAAATTTCCACGTGTATCTGTCTATCCTGACTTTACACGTAACAGCAGTGTAAACCGGAAATGACTGCCTAGCCGCAGTAACACAATTTACTTTAACAGAAGTTACCTGAACAAACGGGACGGCTTGTTTAAGCCTTTCGTAAGCAGAACCCGACATCAGGCTACGAACAGCACCGGAATCTAACAAAGCCGGTAACAGGCCAAAACCTAATTCAACATGCAGAGTAGGCAACGGATGGGGAATGACTCCTTTTATTCCCATCATGTGGATATGCACACTACGGGAATTAATGCTCGCAAAAGGACCGTTACGTAGGGGAGCGCGAGACGTATCTCGTGTTAGTCAAGAATCAGGGGGATGCCCCCGAGATGTAAATGTAAGAGTAGATTGTAGATTCGTACGACAGTCCCGACGAGTATGTCCTGCTTTCTTACAACGAAAACAGACTACTGAGGCAGCTCGAGATACTGGATTGCCAGAACGACCCGATCGAGCAGAGTTAGACGCTACAGGGTGTGTAGGAAGGTCATTACCTACATTATAACCCTTACTCTCAACATTATGAGCATACACGCACATATTATCCAAATCGGCATAACTATGCGGCTTGTCACTGAACACTAAACAGCTCCTCTGATATGGATGCAATCCATCGAGAATATTGCGGACCACAGCGGACTGATCGACATCCTGACGAAAAACGGCGGCTATCTCTTTAATGTCTGCAACATAGACAGCGAGCGGCTCATCCTTCCTTTGCCGTCGGTAATAGTCGGCGTTCAACAATGGCAACACTGTACAGCGCGGAATAAAGAAAGCTAATACATGTTCGTGAAAAGCATCAAGCATATCACCAGAATGTATAGCAGCCAAGATCTTGGATGCCAATGGGCCCTTAGCAAAATCATATAGAATTGGCAATATCTGCGCCGTAGAAATACGGAACGCAGGTGCCATTAATCGCAGACGTACTAAAGCTCGTAGGAACTCAATCAACTCCGATACAATGAGTCCGTCAGTAACATGAAGACTTTCGAGCATTTTGTGTACAGGATTAGGCAAGTCCGCAAAACGGAGAGAGCCTCCCAAAGTACTCGAATCGTAATTAACCACCGGAGGTACCCCCTGGCTAGGGGATAGTGGCTGCGCCTGAGAAGGTAAACACGTATCAGGAGTGAGCTTAGGGACAGTCAAATGCATTCCGCTCTGAAGTTCCGCACTATTAAAGTCGGACGGAGCGGCACCCTGAATCTTGAGCNCGCGTGACGTACGGAAAAGAGATCACAAATCTGCAACATTTAAACCTTCCGTATTTATACCACGGACCTCCAACTCATACGCTAACTCATCCTTATGCAAACATTCGGGTACGATAATTTGTGGTTCCATAATGCTGCTGACGAAATAGACCCTAAACAATAATAATAACAAGAGAGTCACAACCAGGTCAACAGGTCCCATATAACCTACCCAAGTGCCCTACACAAACAAACCGAACCACCATCGCAGGGCAACCCACGCTAGGACTGCGTGCAAACACATTACGAATTCTAACCAGACTCTCAGAGGAAATTACGTTGACCACATAGCCACGCTAACAATGTGTGCTACAAAAGCAACCAACCACTATAACAAGCGACTACGACCGTCTAAACCACAGTTCCGTCCAACCCTGTTTTCACTTAACCAAATCACGGACGTGGAACAAACCATGAGAACCTAACCACGAGAACACAACCATGGGAACCTAACCACGGGAACCTAACCATGTGAGCGAAACCATGAGAGCGTAACCACGCTCTGCTAACACTTTTTGAAGCGAAACCACGCTCTTCTACCACTTTTTTGGAGCGAAACCACGCTCTGCTACCACTTTTTTGAAGCGTAGGTACCCTTCAGAGGATCCTACAAGGTGCGTATAGGTTCTAGTGATCACAGGACAGGGAGAGCAGGGGAGAAGAAAGAAATCAGCAAGGCGGAAATCCCCAAACGGAAATAACCAAATCAAATACTAACAGAGAATAAATATAATATATTAATAAAGAAAGAATACAAACATAATGCAAATACCTGTATGAGAATGATTGCAGAGTTCGCTGTTCTAAGATAGAATACGATGTAGAGAAATTAATTTAGACGGTCAAGGATGACCTCGACCAGTGGTCCGAAACGAGAACCTACCCCATCAACGGTTGGAAAGACAAGCCAAGAGCCTCTAGCTCCACTCGTTAGGCCACTAAGTCTGCTCGGAAGGGGAAGGAGAGAGGGGGACAGTAGAGAAAGTAGAGGGGAGAAGTGTGCACACAAACCACGGACAGGAGCCGATGTCACAGCCATACTCTTTCTTTTGGATCCTGGCTCATAGTGATGAACCCACACATGAATTTCAGCCCCTGACACACCTTCTGATCAGAGAAATCGGATCACTATTCTTTGTTATTCATTGGTGCACGCTGCTAGCAGAGTGGCCATGTTTACACTGTCACAGCATCAAGGAAAATGATGTGATCAAGGTAAAACTTCGATCATGTGACCACAGTAGTACCAACTCTAACAATGCATGCGTAGGAGGCAGTGTGACAAACCTAAAGATGTGTTATGGAGAAAGTGCAGATAATTTCTGACTTACCCTCGTACTTTTACAAATTAACTGAGTGTTGATGCAGGCATGTGTTTACCAGTCATTGCCTAGCAAACAGCTGTCTTTTCTGTCTTTCATGTAACAATCTAGATATTGGGTATAATAATAATACAACTGAAGATGGACAATTAAATTATTTTGCTACAAAATGTGAACTTATGCTAGAGAACACACACACTGAATACACCAAACTATGTTCCATATGCTTCGTTACAAGGAGTCACACCATTTATGAACATGTGTACTTTAAAATTAGTTTACTTTCCTTATTTGCTTTTCTCAGTCATGTTCTATGGCATAATGTTCTAAAAAATTCAACAGACACAACAAAAACATTCAGTATCACAAGGATTAAAAAAATCTACTGTGAATATTTATTTATAAAATTTAATATATTTCTCTTTACCAGCCATTAATATTAGTCATTGTGGACAACATGGATAATTTTCAAGAAATTCTGACATACACAGTATCACTAAAAGACATAATCCACATTCTAAATACTAACCTCATTCAGCAGCAGAAAGGAGTGTACTAATTGGAAGCAGGTTAATTCTGTAAGGTTTTGCCAATGGTGTGTTACAGTTGGGATTACTGATTTTTTTACTTTGTCCATCATCTGTATTGTAAAGAAAACCTTTTGGGAACTCGATGTTTCTGTCCTCAGATGAAACGGTAGGAAGCACCTACAACATTCCTCTGTGATCTAACCTCAGTCACTACATGGTAAAAGACGTTAGATCTTTCTAAGAGACCTCACCGAGTAGGTGCCTCACACCATTTCATGTAAGGCCGTAAACTGAATTAAATTTACGAAGGGCTGTTTTTTATAACATTAGATGTTGGCTAAAAGTCCAAAATCTCAGTAATCTTGATTAAACAAGTTATTCAAAGATCTTTCACCTTCCATTAAAGGGTAAATAACTACATCCTGTGTTCATTCTTGACAGCAACAAGAAGGATGTTCACTGGAATAAATTTACTGTGATAAGGTCACTGTATTAGCAACAATTAAAGACACACTACCTAACTTTATGTACACAACACTGCATAAGCACGAACGCGCACACACAGGAACTACTGTCTCGTCTTTCTGTTATTAACCTCCCCCTTCATTGGAGTAACTAGCAAATGTAAATTGGAATGTTTCGAAAACCATGATTTAAACCTGAGGAGATATACTGCAAAACATAATATTGGTTGCGTACTAATCTATTAATTTTATACTCACTAATTCTAGTATTTGCTTTAATGCTGTTTCATTTAATAATTCTGGTTGTAATAAGTAAATATCACTGCTCTGTTTACAGACAGATGCCATGTGCATTCTTTTCTTCAGGCAAGTGCATAGCGTGCTTCCGTCCTTCCACAGCTGTCCTACGTTCCAAAACACTGTATTGAAACAACATACATTAAAACTGTCGACGCGGTCGACACCGCCGACTCCGCTGAAACCACAGAACACCACAGAAGACTGATACGCTGATACGTTAGTACTGCTGACCCCTGGTGTCATCTATTTGAAGCATGCGTATAGGATATGACGTACACAGCCGAGCGTGCCGAATACTGTGAACACGGTGAACCGCGGTGAACAATGTGAACGACTGTGAAGACTGTGAAGAGCGGAGAACGCTGTGACCCACTGTGAATTGTGAAATTGTGAATGTGTATGAGGTGTATGAGCCGCACGCGCACGAGTACCACAAGCGTCGTAGTCGTCATGAAAGTAGAAGGAATTTGTGGTTTCTGCTTTATTGAGGTATGATATGCAGTGATAAAGGTGAAAATGATTCTCAGGCTCTATATCAGTGCACAAAATATATTTGTAAATGTTTGAATATAACATCTGATTGAAAACGGAGAAGACGGATGTCTAGTTGTACCAGGACATGAACAGCAGATGAGTTATCAAGTATCTTATCACATGAATTGAAAACATTCAAAGCCCTACTTCCCAACACACAAATTCATTTGTCATCTCCCCCTTGACCTTAAATGAAAGGGAGGTAAATCTTTCTTCTGCAGTCACCACAAACTGAATTTCATTATAATTACTTCTGCACACACCATTCCCTTTACATGTGACAATATTTTCTGTGTAAGTGCCAGCTGTGAGTCACACATTGTAATTGAAGTAATTCAAGTAGTGGTCCATTTAGTTTCATAATCAGTGGATTGTTCAAACTGTCAACACTTGCCTAAGCTTATTGTGTATAAGGGTTATCTTGTGAAATCCTCTTTAACAGTATCCAGTAAAAGTTGGAAGGACAGCAGGTATTGGTGTTATCTTGCTTTTCTTGTAATGAAACAGATTTCAAGATCTCTTCAAGCTTCATTTGGTACACTGCTTTGGTTCCATACTGCTCCCTACCCTATGAATTGGATAATTTGAAGTGAGGTACTGAAAGTCAGAAATGTGAGTCTGTACTCCAAGTCACCAAGTCCAAGTCTGTTCATGACGAGTCAGCCATGAGGCAGTATGGAACACAAAACGATTGGCAGTTATGCCACAGATGATGATATGAAAAGAAAGAAACTCTAATTCAAGATTTTTATTCCTAATTCTGCCTGCCTTAATTGTTGCTTAGGTTGTGTTACTCCATTCTCTAAATTTTTTTGCAGTTCTGCCCTTTGAATACTCAGAAACAATGTTATTTTTTTTGCTGATCCTGTAGTGCCTCCAGCTAGTACCAAGGTCAAGAAAATGTTGATCTATACACCCACTCCCCAGTACACCTTCATGGCATAGTGCTTAATTAGTTAAGCACAGGGGCAACTTTACATTATTTTTACCTGTTGTGTCTGCCAGTTTCTCTAGAAAAAATGCGGTTCCATTTCAGCAAGTACTATGGCACAGCTGAACTTCAGTTTCTGTCCTTGTGCAAGTGAGGATAGCTTCTTAAATACTGGAAGAAGTTCCAGCAGAATTTCTGAAAGCAGTGACATACCAGAAACACAAAAATTCAAATGAACATCGGATGACCAAAAGGAGCAACTGTAAATTTTTACTTGCCAGCCAGCAGAATGTACCCACCTCAGGTAGAGGTGATGGGGTTTTTTGATCCCACAGTGTCTGTCACTGATCTTGTCAGCTATGCCTTTTGCCATATTGGTAGTTCAAAATTATGTTTGGATTCGTCGAGTCTACCTTGAAATATAGCCATGGTTCATAATAACAGACTTCTTTCAGAGGTGATGTGCTTCTGAACTCCAGGTATGAGGATCCTGCTTCTCAGTTTTTAATGGCAGAGGTTCTTGAGGTATCTCTTATTTTTCCATAGTCCCTAGACATGTAACTTTAATTTTAAAGACATATGTAGCAAGTGTATTGTATTGTACCAGCTGTCAGTAGTGAGATATCTCTTCAGACTTGCCGTATGACTGGTCAGCCTGTTTATAGCACTAGGTATAACCTTTTTTTTCTCTTTTTCTGCAGTACACTTCCATGTTGTTCGTAAGGAATATTTTGCCATCACAGGGTGCAAAGATTTTAATTCATACTTAGTAGGTTTGTTCGGTGTGTACATTACATTGCATTGCATTCCATGGATCCAAAGTTAGTCAAAATGACTGTAGGATGTGCAATATGTCATATAAATACAAAACATATGTACAGTCCCAATGCAGTTCTCACATAAGAGAAACCAAGAATACACAATGACTACACACAAGGCTATTTAAAGATACATAAGTTGTTTTCTAGACAATAGGTATTCATCAACAGAGTAGAATGAATGTGTATTTAAGTATCGTTTTGGTGCTATTTTAAATTGTGCCTTTTCATTCATAAGACCTTTGAGATCAGACGGCAAGTTATTAAAAATGTTGATCCCAGCATAATATGCGCTTTTCTGAAAGAATGAGAGGTTAGCAGTTGGTTTATGAAGACAGTGTTTGTGTATTGTGTTAACACTGTTTACATCCACATTCATCTGGAAATGTTCTTCGTTATTTGTAATGAAGATTTATAATGAATATATACGTGGTTGCAATCCAAAAGTTCCTGAAATATATTAATACAAACTATTACATCTTACCTAGATATTATTCTGCACCATCACCTTCAAAGTAGTCCCCTTGGGAGCGCATACACCGATCCCAGCGTTTCTGCCACTTTTCAAATGCATCCTGGAAGTCTTCCTTTGTTAGGGTGTTTAGTACCGTCTGCGTTTCCGCTTGAATTTCCTCAACTGTATCAAATCTTCACCCCTTCAATTTGATTTTCGTCTTGGGGAAGAGAAAGAAGTCTCATGGAGCTAAGTCTGGCGAGTATGGTAGGTGGGGAACAACTGCCATCTTGTCTTTAGCCAAAAATTCCTGCACAGTGTAAGCCGTGTGTTGTTGTGCGTTGTCATGGCGGAGTATCCAGTTGTTCGTGCGCCACTTCTCTGGACGTTTTCTCCTCATGTCCTCCCTCAAACGCCTTAGAACATCGCGGTAGGGCTCTTTATTGACTGTCTGACCAGGAGGGACGAACTCCTTATGAACAATCCCGTCAATATAAAAAAAACAGATCAACATGGACTTAATGTTGCTCTTGACTTGTTGAGCTTTTTTTGGCCAAGGTGAAGAAGGGCTCTTCAATTGTGACGATTGCTGCTTGCTTTCAGGGTCGTAGCCATAAACCCAACTTTCGTCACCAGTGACAACCCTCGAAAGAAAGTGTGGATCCTCTTGAAGCTGTTGCTGAAGTTCCCTGCAGACTTCTGAGCGATGCTGCTTCTGTTCATTTTGCAGCAGTCGTGTCACAAACTTCGCCGCAATCCTCCTCATGTTCAGTTCCTCTGACAAAATTCCTTGACATGTACCATAACTTACCGTATTTATGCATGTATAGGCCGCAGCACAATTTTCAGACAGAAATTATAGAAAAAATAATTTTCTTGGAATATTATTTCAGGAGTAGAAATTATTCTGAAATTTGGCAACATTTAACATTCCTAAGTTCGCAACTAGCG